CCATTTAAAACAGAATCTCCATAAAATATCTCTTGTTTAATGGATACACTCCAGGGACATTTATTCCACTGTCTGTAATAAGAAAGTTAGAAATTAACCCAATTCAACACACTCGTACTAGTATTAACTTGTATTAATATTTATTAACTAATTAATAAACAGAAAAATTTAATAGCTCCTTCATTCTAAAAGAAGATAAAATCTGTTGGGCAATGTTTATGAATCTAGAACATTTGGGTAACAGGTGCAAAAAAAAAGTTCTCTTTTTCTAAATATTTTAAATATTCAAATCAGGGGAAAATTAAGAGTAGTTGGAGTAAACCATAATGCACGTTGTCTCCATCTAGACACAAGTACTCTGGGCAGCTTGATAATACAACTTTCAGGTTTGCAGCCACCCATAGGCTTAGCTGTATGCACAGTGTATAGATGGTTTGTGCACAGATTTCCATCAACATTTTATGACAGTCTGTTCTTTACACCATGATATTATTACTGTGTGAAAACCATAAAGTACATTTGCTATAACTTATTTATAATTTTCCTATTCTCACACCATTAACGTGGTCCAAATTTCAGTCATCATCGCATCATACAGAAATCGTTCTTCCTGATTTTCAGATGTTTCTTTACAAAAGAGTCCCCAAAATGACATTTCTGAAGCAAGCAAAACAGTCATTTTGATAACTCCTGAACGTTGGGGCTGCATTTATTTCTGTGAAGTCGAGTACATCCATGGTTTTCATGCTTTCTATTAATGTAGTTCTATATAAATATAATACAAAAAATAGCTACACATTTTTTAAACTTAAAGCATTAATAGAACTCTAAAATAGTATTCTCAATGTGAATACACCTATCCATTATAAGGGATGGTCTTCTGTAAATTATGATTTTTTTCAAGATGGCAACATTTCGCCATCTAAAATCTTGGCTGCACTCTCTTGATATCTGTAACAAATTGCACAACAGCAAATACAATGCTTAGCCTTGTTTTTTCCTGATCAAACATCCCCACTGACAGAAACTCCAGGAAATTAATATGAAAAAGACCCAACTGCTCATCCAGAACCATAGTATTTTAAATGCGAATCTGGCAAACTGTCAAAACTTTTTAGGGGATTCAAAAGGGAACACTCGAAGTCTAGACTTAAAGATAATTACATTGGACTTCACAAAGCAACAATCTACTAAAGAAATGAAAAACGCATCTGTTGTTGTTTTCCAGGTCATACTACGTTAGTGTAAGGTATAAACAGATTGCGCTTGCAAGACACCATGATCAGCTCTAACGTTTATAGCAGTTGTCTGTGGAAAAGAATTACAAAGGTTTAAATGCTTTGTGACACTGCATAGCTTACTGAACTCAGTCACCTCATCTGTCAAACCAATACGTAGAAACAAATGTGACAGAGGTAGCGTCCAACCTCTGGTTAGGACACCTGTGTCCTGCATCAGAATGTCTTTGTTTGTGTCCCTGTTCTGATTTCCTGCTAAAGCAGACTCTGAGAGACTGTGGGTGATGCTTAGAAGACTGGATCCCAGCCACCCACACGGGAGATCTGGACTGAATCCCTGGCTCCAGCTTTGCCCTCTCACTCCCCAACTCTGTGGGCTTTTGGGGAATGAACTAGAGTGGGAGTTCTTTCTCTATCTGTAGTCTCTCTCTCTCTCAAATAAAAAAAAAATAAGTGAAGATAATATAAAGGGTTTTCAAGAATTCATGGTGACTGGCATAGCGGGTAAAGTCATCATCTGCAGCACCAGCCTCACATACAGGCACCGGTTCAAATCCCTGCTTCTCCACTTTCAATCCAGCTCTCTGTTAACGCACTTGGGAAAGCTACCGAAGACGGCCCATGTGCTGGGGTCCCTGCACCCACATGGGTAGCAAGGCCCCAAGCACTTGGCCCATCCTCCACTGCTTTCCTAGGTGCATTAGCTGGTGCCGGATTTGAAGTGGAGCATCTGGGTCTCAAACCAACGCCTTATGGCATGTTGACATGACTGCGGCACAACAACTGTTCCAATTTCAAATTATTTTGCAGAAAAAAACTTATTTTTAAGTTTATTTATTTATTTGTATTATATGAAAGGCAGAGATAAAAGAGTAAGGGAGCTCTTCCACCCAGTGGTTCACACTCCCAAACGCCTGTAACAGCCAAGGTTGGGCCGAGCTGACGTCAGGAGACAGGAGTTCCATCCTGTTCACTCGTGTGCGTGACCAAGTTCTTGAGCCACCATCTGTTACTTCCCCAGGAATGTTAATTAGCAGGAAATTGAATCAGAAATAGAGGGAGGACCGAAACTCAGGCTTCTAACGTGGGATGAGGGTGTCCACACAACAGCTTAAAGTGCCGTACAATATTGTTTAATATGCAAGTTATACACACCCTTGTATAATATGAAAATATGGGGTTTTAATTTCTCCTTGACCTTTATTGTCCCCTTCACTTAGTCACTTTTTTATTTTTTTTTATTTATTATTTTTTTTTTTTGACAGGCAGAGTGGACAGTGAGAGAGAGAGAGACAGAGAGAAAGGTCTTCCTTTGCCGTTGGTTCACCCTCCAATGGCCGCCGCGGCCAGCGCGATGTGGCCGGCGCACCGCGCTGATCCGGTGGCAGGAGCCAGGAGCCAGGTGCTTTTCCTGGTCTCCCATGGGGTGCAGGGCCCAAGCACCTGGACAATCCTCCACTGCACTCCCGGGCCACAGCAGAGGGCTGGCCTGGAAGAGGGGCAACCGGGACAGAATCCGGCGCCCCGACCGGGACTAGAACCCGGTGTGCCGGCGCCGCTAGGCGGAGGATTAGCCTAGTGAGCCGCGGCGCCGGCCACTTAGTCACTTTTCATGCCATCAAACAATCTAGGCTGACATCTGAAAATAAAATACGGCCAGGCAATTGATTTATATATATTTCTTCTTAAAGCACTGAAAAATGCTAAAAATGGAGAGGATTTTCTAAGATGACAGTATACAGGAGCCTGATTTACGGATTGGTTATTATGAGCTCTGATACTACGAGGGCACTCAGTGCATTTCACCAAGCACAGGTGCACAGAAATAAGATTCCCGCCTGTCCTGGAGAACAGCATTATCTGCATGTGTGTTCGATATGAAGTACAAGAATTAAAGAAGCAAATTTCATATTTTAGTAATGTGACTCTAAAGCCACAAATGAATGTGGGTATGCTTATGGTTTGGAAAATTTTCCACAATCAAAAATATCAGAAAATGAATTTTAGATGTTGTTTTTATATTTTGTACTCAGTATGTGCAGCATCTTGCAAATATCTTTTAAATAATATGTATGGCTACAGTCATGTAAAATGAAAAGTACCCCAAACACCTTGAATAATATGAAGAAATTTGTTCATTTCATAATTTCAACTTTAAAAATAAATATTTAGACGGTCCTAAGGTAAGTAGCTTTGTTGCCATGGATCACTCAAATTTGTAAAATACACATTTGTAAAATTGTAAAATCTAAGAAAGTATTCCAGTCATTAAGAAAGGGTATTCAGGGGCTGGCACTGTGCTGTACAAGGTTAAGCCTTGGTCTGCAGTGCCGGCATCCCATAGTGGTGCTGGTTCAAGTCCTGGCTGCTCCACTTCTAATCCAGCTCCCTGCTAATGCACCAGGTAAAGCTGCGGAAGATGGCCTAAGTCCTTGGACCTCTGCACCCACGTGGAAGACACAAAAGAAGCTCCTGGCCCCTGGCCTGGGCTGGCCTAGCTCTGGCAGTTGTGGCCATTTGGGGAGTGAACCAGCACTTCCTTCTCTGTATCTCTGCCTTTCAAATAAATAAATACATCTTTTTTAAAAAGGGTATTAAAATCAGCTTTGAATAGAATAAACTTTAAGTGGAAGCATGAGAAGACTTTTTTAAAGGTAAACTTAGAAGAATGGAATGAAAAAAACTGGGGAATGGAGATCTTTGCAGAAGACTTCAAAAAGTTCACGGAAAATGTGAATTATCTTTTAATTCCATTTTTCTGTAACCTGTATTTTTAAGGGACTTTTGTGTTTGAGTTGGCACTCAGTGGCACTTGTGAACCATTAACTTCAATTACACGGAAAACCCCAAACAAACCCTGGGCATTGTAAATCTCATTAATTTTTAAACACATGGGGACTGGAATAAATGGACTTTGAATTAACTCAATCCAAATTACCTGATATGAAAACATAATTGCAATTCCGTTGCCTGAAATCAGTCGCCAGTTGAAAATGCAGAATAGTTTGCTATGCTAAGGTTTATTACAATTTTATCTGTTTTGAAGTTTCATAGGAATGTTTTCATAAAACATGAGTCTGAGATTGAGAAAATAAGGGATTTTAACGGACATTTCCATATAATTTTGTAAACCTCGGGGAGCATTTCATCAAATGTCCCTTCTTTAAGAGGGGCATCTTTGAGTTGCTTAAGCAAAACATTCAATTCAAAACATACAACTGCAATCCTCAAGCATACCCGCTAATGCGTCATCAAGAAGGTCAGGACTCGCATATTTCTAGACTTCCTGCTTTGTTTCTACAGCAGTAAGGTAAAGCATAATATTAACATGAGCCTAACAATGAGAGTGAAAATGTGAAGAAATATGCTATAAGAAAAAAACAATGGAAATGTTGCTAAAATGAGATATTTTCAAAAACCAAAGAAAAATCACATTGAAAAATCTGCTGCTTTTGGGAAGTCTGGTGTCCTTGGTTCCATCTACCTGTAGACAGTAAAGTCACCATATAAACTTTTAATATTTTTGTGTTGTTTTACCAAAGTTTCTATTTCTTAGTTAGATCTTAAAATAATCTCTGATTGGAGGCAGGCCACATTTCATGAGGGATCCTGTTATTAACACCCTCATTTAAGTAAAAAATTATGAAACACAGAATAACGTCCATCCTATGTGCCTTACAGAAAGCTTTAAAGATTAGCCCCCATGTACCCAACCCACTTGGAACACAGTAACACCCACAGACAACACGTGAAGGCTTATACCTGAGAAAAAATGTGCTTTGAAGCCCTTCTTGGAAACAGTATTATCAGACTTGAACTCGATTCTCATGTTGTTGAACTGGGACGTGATCACTTCGGGCACTTCAGCTCCGCAGAACTTGCCGTGTAACTTAGCCTCAGAGGAAAGCCCACTCCAGATCTCCACATAATCATATTTGCAAACCTGCAGAACACGTTAATGTGGTCAACAGACCCGAGAGTCGCAGATGACTGACATTTACACATGCATTGCGTTTTTATTCCTGTATCTAGTATGATGTTTTTATTCCCCTCTTTATTCCTGTGTTAATGTTAAATCAAGCTGAAATAAACAGGTAAAGGAAAGATAAACAAGACTAGCACAGGGCTCAACCATGAGTCTGAAGGGATGAAACAATTAGAGAGATGAGAGCCCCAGGGGGTGCACACACATATGTATGCTTGTTTACATCTTTCCTAAAATATTAAAGGAGAGTTGAGATGAATGTTTGTTGAGGCATAGGCACTGATAATCACAAGACAAGCAACTCTGCCCTTTCAAATCAAACTCCTGAAACCTTCACCAGGGACTGTGAAAATACTTCTTACATGTGGTCTTATTTAATACTGACAGTATATGACATAGCCTATGAAATCACCAATAGCAACAGAAACTGTACTTTCTATGGTAGAGATGAGAAAACTTAGCTCTAGAAATTTTTTATACAACGTGGTCAACATTTTCTTAGCCTACAAGGCAAGGTGGTGATGAACAGCACGGAGTGTGGTTTAGAACCGGGCTGTCTCACAAGAAAGCCACATTCTTTTTTTTTTTTTTTTTTTTTTTTTTTTTTTTTTTTTTTTTTTTTTGACAGGCAGAGTGGATAGTGAGAGAGAGAGAGACAGAGAGAAAGGTCTTCCTTTTGCCGTTGGTTCACCCTCCAATGGCCGCCGCGGCCGGCGCGCTGCGGCCGGCGCACCGCGCTGATCCGATGGCAGGAGCCAGGAGCCAGGTGCTTTTCCTGGTCTCCCATGGGGTGCAGGGCCCAAGCACCTGGGCCATCCTCCACTGCACTCCCTGGCCACAGCAGAGAGCTGGCCTGGAAGAGGGGCAACCGGGACAGAATCGGGCGCCCCGACCGGGACTAGAACCCGGTGTGCCGGCGCCGCTAGGAAAGCCACATTCTAATCAGAGCTGCACCATAAACAACTTTCCAAGTGAAAGACAGATACTTGTTATATAAAAAGCAGGCATTTTGCCTTTCCAATTTGCTAACGTCTTGGAGTTGCTACATACTAGCGAGTTACTCTGTATGATTACTGTAGAATTGCAAACAGACCGGAACTCTAGTAAATGGGACAGAGGCAAAAATCTAGCTCATTGTGACTTACATGAAATGCATTAACAACAAAAGGGAAAAAGCTAAGCGAATCTCAGGCAATAAGCACTGTTGTGGCCACTAACAAACATTGTGTAAACACACTTTCTCAAAGTTTCTGTAATAGGACATGTTCTATAGAGTATATGTTGTATGAATGACCTTCTTACATAAATGTTTAATTAGCAACATTTAACAGTTTGCAAAGGATCTTTCTGCAACTGAGGAGGACCCCATGAGAATCATGCTTTGAGAAAACAAAGCTCAATTTACGTAAAACCTGAACAGAAACCTTCAGCCTTTTAAGCAACACCTATCAAAAATGAGTCAAAGAATGTCACATCCGTCATAACTATAGTTTTATGGAAAACCATGAAAACAGAAGTCATTCAACACTGAATTCATATGAAATCACAGAATGGGTAGTAAAATTGAGATTTTCAAAATGTGTAGCTCATAAAAAGTTTTTGCAAAAATATTACAAAAATCATTTTCATTATTTCAATACTTCCCACAAACTCAAGCTAGTATTAATGTGGATAAAGTATGCTGAAAAGAGTAACTCTATTCTTTTCTATCATGAAACTTAATCATGATGTTAACAGAAAAAAGCTGAAGACGTCCAGTCAGTTCTAGGCTTCTACAGTTCTCTGAAATACATCTTTATTATGGTTCAGATTTCAATTCCCTTTAGGTAATGAAATAGCTATATCTTTTACATTGAAACCACTGATATGGACTAATCTCATGGTATAAAATGCACAGATATTACAAACACCTCAACACGTACTGCCCTCAGGCACACATGCCTTACATTTCTGTTCTCACACTTCTTTGCAAGTGTTCATCAGATATACATCAAAGACATGAGTTATTTTTAATCACGTTTAGAGGTGATGAGTCATGTTCATTTTCAAATAAACACAGAAACTAGTTATTGGGACCAAAGGTGTGGAAGAAGTTAGTAAGAGAAAATCAAGTATGAGAGATTAAATAAATACTTATAACCTTTTCTCTGGAATTAAACTTGTGTAGACCAATCATACAAAGGACATTCTTCAACAAGTTCTCATTCTTATTTCTAGGCTTGCCATTCATTTATATTTGGTGTACTATCATATAGAAACTTTCAAATAAATAACTTCACTTGTTTAAATGTGGTTACCTAGCAGAAAATGCTACTATTGATACAGTATGCAATAATTTGTAGAAGATAGCTTCAGCTCAACATGTCTTACCGAGGTTAAAAAATTAATTATTTATTTATAAAGCATGCACACATTCATAATGAAAAATTACTTTCATAATGAAAATACACCCACTTCTACAAATAAGATATACCAAGTTGTTCCAAATGGATATTTTTGTTATGACTCAAATCAAAATCCACTGGGTATTTTTTTCCCAGCCATGACATGAAGCTGACCCTAAATACTCCAAGTCTCTAACAAATGGAGAAAATGGTGTATATTAACTACATGAATTAGAAACTCCCTCTAGGTAATTTCCTATCTCCCAGAAACAATCTAAAATAGAGTACTATGCTCTTTTTTAAAAAAAGTTTTCTGATTTGCCTTCAGGGATTCCTTCATTTAAAAAAAATCTATTTATTGCTCACTTACTTCATTGCCTTCCAATTCAAAAAACTCAAACTTCATAGATATTCTGTACTGGGTTGGTGCAACCACTTGCCACACACAGTTTTTATTAGGAGGATACTCTTTGGGCCATCCTGGGGTGGTGATGGTGCCATTAAGCTTGGTAAGAAGTCCGCCACAAGCAGCTAGAAGAAAGAAAAGGAAGGGTATTCCCTTATTAAAGTCACCCCCTTCTTAGCACAGTTCCACTGATACCCAAACATTCAAAATAGCCAAGATACAGGACCTACCAGGATATGAATGAATGGATGAAGAAAATGTGGCACATAATAAAATGGAATAGTATTCAGCCATAAAAAAGAATGCAGTCCTGACATTTGCAATGCATGGATGGAAGTGGAGGTCATTATGTTAAACAAAGTCAGGCACAGAAAAGTCAGTACCAAATGTTCTCACTGTATGTACAAGGTAAGTTGATCTCATAGAAGTAGGGAGGAGAATAGGGTTGACAGAGGCTAGGAAGGTTGGGCAAAGAGAAGATGGAGAGAGGTTAGTGATTGGGTACAGAAATCAAGTTAGATAAATAGAAAAAGCACAAGTGGTCTCTATATAGTACAGTAGGGTGACGATAATTAACAGTTATTTACTACAGATTTCAAAATACCCATAAGAGAAGTTTTTCAATACTCCCAACACAGAAAAACAATAATTATGCTGATGTGATCACTACACATTGTACACATGTAAAGAAATAACATACTGTGCGTCATGAATACATGTAATTATTAGGTGTCAATTATATAAGTGAATGAAAAAACCGCCTTCTGGATTCCAACAGACACTGAAGCTACTGTTCTTTAGTTTTTAGAACAACTATGGCAATCATGAAACCACAGTTACAAAATATCACTTTGCAGCTTTGCAACCAGGCAGATAATAGATGTACAACAATATTTTAGATCACTTTAATCTTTGGCAATCAACCTAAAGGAAACTGGGTGTCAGTTCTTGTATCTCTTAAATGGGTTCACCATAATAATATCTTGTAGTGTGCCTTGGGTACTTCAGAATTCACAGAAAGAATACATTTTAGAATTGATAGAGTTGTGATAAGGAAAAGATATATGTAAAGCATAATATAGTCCAAAATCATTCTTTCTTCAATCTCTTTTTTGCCAAGACAAGCAATGATGTATTACCTGAGTCAGCGGGCAAGATAAATTATGACAGATACAACATATTTGTTATTCCACAAATCTCTGTTTAACAACTGGTTTTCATTTCCTGTGGATGATCTATTTAAGAGAGACACCATTTACTTCCCTTCTTTGCTAACAGCGAAGTTAGCAAAATCAAAGTATCCCAGAGCAAGTTGTGTGAAAAGATCATATGCACATTTTATAACTAATTCCCAGGGAGTCAAGAATTGCTTAAACTAAATGGTCTCTTTGATTTTATGTACATGTCACTGATGTGCCAAGTCCTCTTTTTGAAAGGTATGGCATTTTGTTCATAACAATGTATCTTAATTAACAGAGAGAGGATTAAGTGTTTAATAGACAAAAAAAGATCAACTTTTACAAAGAAATAAGGAATCACTGTTTTTTTAGGTTGGCAGATATGGAATGAATTCATTAAGGAAACACCTTAGGCACCTTTGCCTCTTACATCCTCTAGCAGAGACACAGTAGAGAACAAAGTGCTTATTTTCAGGGAGCTTGCATTTCAGTGGAACACACCAAAACAAGTTAATAAATACAAAAATACAAGTATTGCTGCAAGTCCTGTGGTGATGCATTCGACAGGAATTTCTAAAGAGGAATAAAGGGGGGACAGGCTGCAGGAATGAAGATCCAAATGTTTATTCTCTCTCCAGTTTGAGGTGTGAGGCCTCTGGTAGGGTGGAGGAGAGGGAAATGAGAGAGCCAGCTTCAAATTGAGGGCAGAGATCTTAGGACATGGTAAGACAGCCTGGCAAACAAAACCTCACATGGGACTGTAAAGAAGAAATGTGGATAACCATGACAAAGTCATCTTTGTTTAAAGAAGCATTTATTCATGAAATGCATGTCTGGTTTTAGGCTAGATGCTTTCTGTCTACTACATGCTGGAGGTAACAAAAGCAATTCCGGTTTAGGGCTGCTGACTTAGAGACCACAGAGACCACAGTAAGAAAATATCAAGTCATGGATGGATGGATGGATGGATGGATGGATGGGCGGGTGGGTGGGTGGGCAAATAGGTGGGTAAAATATCTAGATTTAGAAAGAGACAGAAATGCATACATGCACACACAACAGCATAGTAACCAAAGGAGGACAGAATTGATTACATAACAAGAATTTGTTATCAGCTGTGACTTTGAATTAAGTCTTAGTAGTTTTTGGAAAGAGGTTATTATAGGGGACAAGAAAGGCATGAGGGAAAGATAGAGATAGAGATAGAGATAGAGATAGAGATAGAGATAGAGATAAAGGATGGAGACACAGTTAGAGACACAGAGAGCACATGAGAATACAAAACAGTCATCCCTCCATAAGTGGTTCTTCAACACCTCTGGATAAGGAACTCTGTGGCTGCACAAGTCCCTTATACAAAATGGTGCCGCATGTGCAAATAACCTGTGCACACCCTCCTGTATACTTCAAATCATTTCTAGAAGACCTGCAATATCTCATACAATGTACATGTTATGGGAATAGTTGTCTCACTATCCTGTTTAGAGAATACATACAAGAAAAATGAAAGAAGGCTGCACTTGTTGAGCACATGCTTAATTTCTTTTTGGAATATTCTGGATCAGTAGCTGATTGAATTCGCAGAGGGGCAACCCGTGGATGTGGAAGGAGGACTTGGGCAGCAATGAGGGTGCGTGCAGGTGCTGCCCGGGCCCAGCCATACCTTCGCAGCTCCTCCTGTCCGGCCCCAGCTCGTAGCCCGGCTCACAGGCACACTGGTAGCTGCCCAGGGTGTTCAGACACCGCTGCTCACAGCCGCCTCGGTCAGCTTTGGCGCACTCGTCTTCCTCTGCAAAAACGGCAGAGTTACAGGATGACCACCGTGTTGTGCTTTCATAGGCCATGTTTGAAAACAGGATTCTACCTGGCTCTGAGGACAACGAAGACAACGACTCACCTCTCCAACACAAGAAGAGGGAACACAGCCTTTGCTGGATGACTTGCAAGAATTCAGGTCCCGCAACCCATGAATTAGAGAAGCAGGCTAAGTCCTGGATCTACAGCAGGGCTACCCAGAGCCCACATTATCCCAGCGTGTGTTTGCTCTGAATTTGAGCTTAGAAGGGGATGATTAATGAAATAATAATAATAAAAAAACAGCTGCAATAGCATAGCTTCACCTACTGATTTCACAGAATAGTTGCAAGATATGTCTCAAAATGTTTTTAAAGAAATAACATTAAGAAAGAGATTGTGGGAATAAAAATTAAAAACAGATGAAAATCCTAAATTCACTGGACCTCTTTCAATTGAAAGCCTTTGGTGTTTCTTACAAATACATTTTGAGCCAGAAAATATAACTATCTCACATGTTTGTGAATGTATATACTATTTAACTGTATATATACATATGAAAATATGCATAGGAAATATATATGAAATATGTTATTTTCATTTTCTAGATTTATTTATTTATTTGAAAGTCCGAGTTACAGCAAAAGAAGGAGAGACAGGGTGAGAGAGAAATCTTCCATCTATTGGTTCACTGCTGAAATGGCCACAGTGGCCAGGGCTGGGCCAGGCCAAAGCCAGGAGCCAGGAGCCAGGAGCTTCATCTGGGTCTCCCATGTGAGTCTTTGCTGCTTTCCCAGGTTCATTCGCAGGGAGCTGGATCGGAAGTGGAGCAGCTGGGACTTAAACTGGTACCTATATGGGATTCTGGCACTATAGGTGATGGCTTTACCAGCTATGCAATGGCGCCAGCCCCAAAACATATATTATTTTAAAAAAATGTATGACAGAAAATCTTAAACATATAAATGAACATTTGAATAAATATTTTAATACATGCAGTAAAAGTGTCAAGTTGCTCTGCTTTTTTAATTCATATGGTGAATATTTAAGCAACTCAGAGAAAATGTGTTTTACTGTTTTTTAAGTAACAAAATATTTAGGTTATCTGTAAATTTTCATATATACAACTGAGTACATTATGTATCCTATAAAATTAGTATAGAGGAAACATTTTTCTCTTTCTTCATAACAATTTTATTGCACAATGACACACTTAAAATAATTTCCTATGAATTTCAGAAAGCATATTTGATGCTATTTACCCCAAAGCAACTTTCTTATCTCAGTAATATGCAGCTAACATGGAACTAGAAAGCAAACTGAAATGCAGTTATGTAATCACAAATTAAAGTTGATCAGTTCTGTCTTTGTCAAAAAGACACTTTAGATATCAGAAGATCCTGTTAAGGAAGCCACCGGGAATTTCCCAGGGGGGAACAGCATCCTGTAAAGCTGAGTTTAGACGCGCTGGCATCTGGAAATAAATCGATTGTCTGTGTGTCAGTGCACTCTCTTCTCATTGGGAATCTTTTATTGATTATATGCACTGCAGATATTTAGTCCTGTCTGTGTATCCCTTTCTGGATTTTGCTAGTTTGACTATTTCATAAGAAACAGATGGTTGAGTGCCCTAACGGAGTTCTTACTCTGTGCTTCAACGTTGTTTTACAAAAAAAATGTTTTCCACCAAAACATATCAAATCATCCTTATAAACTGTACCTACTCCAACTTTTAATACAATTTTAATTTCGTCCTCCCCTGGAAGCTAGATGCTGTATTTACTCCAAAGAAAGTTCCTCATTCGTAAAGGACTTCCGATTACCTTTAAAGAAGTTAGCGGCAAACCCAGCCTTGTTCACAGTTCCGTCAGAAACAAACTTCATCCACAAGGTGTTGGAGGTAGATCTTATGTCTTCAGGCTTATCATAACCACAGAAACGCCCTATCAAAGGGCTGTTTTCGCTGGTTCCATCTCGAACCTCTAGGTAGTCATAGGCACAGTTGTCATGTCTTTCAATCTACAACAGTGAATATAAATCTTATTAATAGGTGAAACAGGGGCTGGTGTTGTGGCACAGCAGGTAAAGCCGTGACCTGCAGTGCCCACATCCCATACGAGCACCGGTTCTTGTCCAGGCTGCCCCCTCTTCCGATCCTGCTCCCTGCTAATGTGCCTGGGAGAGCAGTGGAGGATGGCCCAAGAGCTTGGGCCTCTGCACCTACACGGGAGACCCGGAAGAAGCTCCCAGCTCTTAGCTTTGGCCTGGCCCAGTCTAGCTGTTGCAGCCACCTAGAGAGTGAACCAGTGGCTGGAAGATTTCTCTCTCACTCTGTCTCTCCCTTTCACTGTAATTCTGACTTTCAAATCAATAAATAAATAAATATTTTTTTAAAAAAATAGATGAAACAATTCTTATAGGAAGATAATTAAGTACTCTCAGTGTTATAGTACTGACATAGTAAGACTGAAGATGACTTATATTACATAAGTGCACATAAGCATTCCTTATGAGTGTATATGATAATGCATTGCACATTTTTTATTACAAAAACAATACAGGGACAAGTACTTTACTTGGGTCAGGATCAACAGAAGATAACTAACTTTTTAAATGAAATTAACTTCTAAGTACTGATTCTTTAGTAACTAAACCTGAAAAAAATACCCAGACTTAAAATGATCATTGAAAACACTGGCCATATAAACTGTAAGCAATGATTTGTTCTGAAACATAGTCATAAAAATAGCCCATCACTCATCAACAGAATCATTATTTTATTCACAGAGAAGCTGAATCCAAATTTCCTTAACAAATGTAGTACAAGTTTAGGCTACAAATATAATTTTGAAAAGTGACTCTGATAATTCTAGAGGACATTTCTTTCTAGTTGATGACTCTATCCATAATTAGCATGACTGTATGTAGACTACTGCTTGACTGTGGAGTCAGCACTGTCTTGCCCTTTCTCAAGGTAACATGGCCTTGTTTGGATGAGCCCTGCCACCTCGACACACTCTTCTTTAGCCAGATAGCCTGGGGAAATGCAAGCTCTTTCCTTATCAACGATCACACTATCGGTCTATGTCTATGAAATTTTATGGAAAACATATTCAACGACCTGTGTTTTGGTCCTGAACTCCTTAAAGCCACAGAACGAAAACTTACAAATTATTTTAAAAATAATAATAATCTTTAAATAATATTTTTGCTTTTAATTTCAAAATCTTAAGAGTCAACTCCCTATTAGATATTTGAAACTAGAAAACAGATACACTAATCTACAAATCAAAAACCATTGAAAGAACCACACGTTATCTATCATTTATCATACAATTTAGTAATTTGTCCATTTTCTTGTTACAAACCAATGTCAGGAAATAGATTCTTTCCTTGTAGCTACAACCTGAATGCATGAGACTGCTGTTGTAGTTGCTAGAAATCTCTTTTTTATCAATATATAGACAGCAACAGTCTTCAAATTAGGTAGCATAAGGACAACCAGAAAAAAAAATTTGGGGGGAAACACAAATGTAGTTGGAACTAAGTACTGCATTTGCTGCTTCCTTTTCCCAAATCAAAAAACAAGATTCATTCATTCTTTCATCAAATACTCCGCGTCTCCTCTCTGTGCTAGGCACTCTTCTCTGTGCCTGGGTACCTGATGTGCATCATTCACTTAGCAAAACAACAAAGAACCTGTCCTTCTGGAACCCACATTCTACTGACAGAAAAATAAATAAATAAAACCACTGAGTGGGGCTGGCACTGTGGCTGGTGGGCTAAGCCTCCACCTGCAGTGCTGGCATCCCATCGTGGGTTTGTATCCCGGCTGCTCCTCTTCCGATCCAGCTCTCTGCTTACGGCCTGGAAGAGCAGTGGAAGATGGCCCACATCCTTGGGCCCCTGCACCCACGTATAAGATCTGGAAGAAGCTCCTGGCTCCTGGCGTTGGGTCAGCCCAGCTTCGGCTGTTGTGGTCATCTGGAGAGTAAACCAGTGGATGGAAGACCTTTCTCTCTGTCTCTCCTTCTCTGTCTGCAAGTCTGCCTCTCAAATAAATAAATTTGAATAATCTTTTTTTTTAAAAAAATCACTGAATCATCAAATATTAAAAAGTAGTAAATTCCTTGGAAAAACATAAAGTGAAACAAGCTAAGAATTAGAAGGGCGGATCTTTATGCTAGCAGGTAGGAGGCTTGTTAAGATATCTGTGTCCCACAGGTGAATACTGGGTATGATTTTCAAACCCAGCTCCTGATTACAGCTTCCTGCTGATGTGGATCCTGAGAGGCAGCAAGAGATAGCTTAACTGGTGGGTTTCCCACTACACATAAGGAAGCCTGAATTGAGTTCCCAGCTTCTGGATTCAACCTAGTTCAGTCCTGGTCAGCGTGGAGATTGGTTAGTCAATCAGCTTACGGGAGCTGTCATTCTCTCTCCGTTGGTCTCTCTCCGATAATAGCTTAACTTTAAAAGGATCTCAATTATTCTCTTCCTTTGCACCATTTAAAATAAATACACATTTTTTTTAGAAAGGGGAGGAAAGTTTGCAGTTTTGAAATGCCTTCAGGGAGGGGCTCACTGAATATGATTCATAAATCTAGATTTTGTTCTGAAAATAAATCCTCTTTATATGTGGGGTTAAGGAATAAATGAAAAATATTTACATAAACAATGTCTTGTTTCAAAGCACACTTTAAAAATGGATGCTGTTAAAGATCTCTGTGAGTGAGATCCCAGTGGAAAGAACAGGTCTTCAAGGAAGGAGGTACCTTTCTCTGAAGGGAGGAGAGAACCTCCACTTTGACTATGACCTTGTCTAAACAAGATAAGAGTCGGAGAACTCAGAGGGCTTCCATAGCCTTGGAAACTCATGACTGGAGCATAGGGAGATTACTGATGCCATAGACAGGAGTGTCAATTTGTAAAGTCAACAACAGGAGTCACTGTGCACTTACTCCTCATGTAGGATCTCTGTCCTTAATGTGCTGTGCATTGAGATTTAATGCTATAACGAGTACTCAAACAGTATATTTCACTTTGTGTTTCTATGGGGGTGTAAACTGTTGAAATCTTTACTTAATGCATACTAAACTGATCTTCTGTAAAAAAAAAAAAAAAAGAAATTATCAATTCCCAACTTGACTCTCATTGGGATTAAACATGACAATAGGTCTGATCTGATTTCATCATCATTTAAAAAATCATCTATTATTTTTCACTTTATGTTTCTGTGTGGGAGCAAACTGTTGAAATCTTTACTTAATGTATACTAAGCTGATCTTCTGTATATAAAGAGAATCAAAAATGAATCTTGATGTGAATGGAAGGGGAGAGGGAGTGGGAAAGGGGAGGGTTGTGGGTGGGAGGGACGGTATGGGGGGGAAGCCATTGTAATCCATAAGTCGTACTTTGGAAATTTATATGCATTAAATAAAAGTTCAAAAAAAAACAAAAATAAAAAAAAATGGACGCTGTTTAAATAGGGATTGATTCAGAGCTGGCAGGGCACAGTTCTTCCAGCTACTCACCAGGGATAACAGGTGCATACGACCAACTGTACATACATACACTCTCTGGTCTCAATCTTTCATACACTGTCTTCTTCATAAATATGAGAATGTTCCCAGATGGCCAAAGGCCATTCATCCGTCAAAATGGTATCTACAGGCCGGCGCCACGGCTCACTAGGCTAATCCTCTGCCTTGCTGCGCCGGCACACCGGGTTCTAGTCCCGGTCGGGGCACCGGATTCTGTCCTGGTTGCCCCTCTTCCAGGCCAGCTCTCTGCTGTGGCCAGGGAGTGCAGTGGAGGATGGCCCAAGTGCTTGGGCCCTGCACCCCATGGGAGACCAGGAAAAGCACCTGGCTCCTGCCATCGGATCAGCGTGGTGCACCGGCCGAAGTGCGCCCGCCGTGGCGGCCATTGGAGGGTGAACCAACGGCAAAGGAAGACCTTTCTCTCTGTCTCTCTCTCTCACTATCCACTCTGCCTGTCAAAAAAAAAATGATATCTACAACTTTCAAGGTATGGGATTTGATAAATGAATAAGCAACACTGAACCAGTGACAAAGCTGCAGGGGAAATAACCGAAGGTCCCAGCAAGTCGTCCTGGCCTCCCCTGCTTCGAGCAGGCAGAACTGCTCCTGATTTTCAACTTGTACTGGAACACTGGGGCTGGGGAGTATTTTAATAAGACTGCTTTAAAAAAAAATCACAGTAAGGGGCTGGTGCTGTGGCGCAGCGGGTAAAGCCATGGCTTGCATCGCTGGCATCTCATTTGGGCACCGGTTGAAGTCCCAGCTGCTCCACTTTCGATCCAGCTGTCTGCTTTGGCCTGGGAAAGCAGTAGAAGATGGCCCAAGTCCTTGGGCCCCTACACCCGCGTGGGAGACCCAGAAGAAGCTCCTGGCTTTGGATCGGCCCAGCTCCGGCTGTTGCAGTCAACTGGTGAGTGAACAAATGGATAGAAGACCTCTCTCTCTACCTCTCTTTCTCTCTGTGTGTAACTCTTTCAAATAAATAAATAAATCTTAAAAAAAAAAAAAAACCCCACAGTACTACGAATGAAGAAAATAAGACACATGATTGAAGAAAATGAAACAAAAGTCTACATTTTCTCAGTTATTAAGAAGAAATGGGACAACAGATATTGTCTTCATAAAATTCACACTTTTCTTCTAACAGATACACAATAGATTGCTATAATTTTAATATAAAGTATATTCACTGGTTACTTAGCTAAAATTGGATGTTTAAGTATTTCATATGATACACAAACTATAAATATTTCATGGGTAAAATGTATAAAAATGGGCATTTTAGGATGAAAACCATTAGTATATAGTTATCTATATTGTTTATTAAATATTACCTGTCAGGGATGGAGTAAGGAAACAGAAACATAGACTGTATTCCCACATAGTAAATGCCAGTTGTTGAGTTGGCTAGACAATACAATACGCATCATACAAAAGTTCATAATATTCAGTAATGCAGTACTCCCAGCAGCAAGC